CTCTCCGGACCAAGAGTAAGAGAATACACAGATTTTCTACTACGTTCTCTTCCAGAGTCTTTGGAGCACTCGCATCTGCGACCTCTGGCTGGAGATTTGCTGCGAGAGATCCTCGATGGGGCGGACGTGGGCGATCTGGAACTCGCTCTCCAGGACCCGCTTGTCCAGGCGCTGGAACTCGCCGCTCACGATCCGGTCCTCCAGACCGTAAGAGGTGATGACGATGAGAGAGCCGCCGGGCGCCAGGCACGAGGCCGCCTGGGGTATGGCGATCTTGAGCGTGTTGATCTCGTCGTTCACGGCGATTCTCAGGGCCTGGAACGTTGGCAGCGCGGGATGCTCGTCCTCGAATCTCGGTGGCTTGGATCCAAGGTTTTGTTTCCTGCGATCTATAGAGAAGAAGAAATGGAAGAGCTTCGCAAAGTGAAGAAGAAGAAATGGAGGAGCTTGATCTTACCGATGAAGTTGACGAGCTGGAGCGTGGTTTTGAAGGGCCCTTTCTTGAGGCGGGTCTCGGCGATGGAGTGAGAGAGCTCTTGCCAGTGTTGCTCCTCGCCGTAGTCCCGGAGTAGTCGTCCCAGCTCGCGCTCGTTCCACGAGTTGAGAATGATCTCGGCTGTCATCCGGGAGCGTCGATCGAATCGCATGTCCAGAGGGCCGTCCATGGTGTGGCTAAAGCCTCTCTCGGGAGTGTTAAGCTGGAAAAAAGAAAGCTTGCAAAGATGGTGGCATGGTTTTCTTTATTCTTTCCACTAGCAAGAAGAGATTATGATGCAAAAGCGAAAACCAAGAATTCAAGAGCAAAATCACTTCAAATTCATCAGGAAGAAAAACGCAAGAACTCGGAAAAAGAGTCTAAGAACCAGAACAACGTAGAAGAAAAACAAACAAATCAGCCAAGAAGAAAGTGGAGACAATGGCGCATTTTAGAGCAAGAAAGGAGGAGCAAACCAGATTCATCACAAAATCCAACCATGAAACTCAAGAAGAAGAACGGTTTCCATGCTATGCATGCCATACCTGCATTGCGGAGAGACCCAACACCATCAAGATCCCGTCCACCCCTCGCTGGAGCAAGCCCGGATCGATCTGGTTGAGCTGGAGCTTGAGACACTTAAAGTTGACACTGGCAAAGTGGAGGCGGAGGTGGGCATTCCCCGCGGCGGCGGCTTCCAACTTGGGTCTGGCCAGCAACACCGCGTCGGGGTCTAGATCCAATCCCACAGCTTGCCGGAGCTCGGGATGGGTCCGTATGATCTGTGGAGAAAGAAAGAGAGCGATGTTTCTTTCGATCAAAAGAGAATGGAGCCATTACCTCGAACGCGTGAGCTCCGTTTCCCAGCGTGCAATCCACAAACGTTTCCAGGCGATTCGGCTTTAAGTGTTGGAGCACCGGATTGATCATCACTGGCGAGTAAATCGCTGCGAGGTTCCTGTACCATCGCTTGATCATTGTCAAGGGCATTAGAGATTATCTCAGCACCCTCACCAGTTTATTCGATCGATTCATCGAAACATCACCTTCTTTTCTTGGATCCAGAGAGAGAGAAGTTACAATTCGATTGCTTTCTGTCTTCTTTCTAAATCACTCGACTACCTGAGAAGAAACAAGTAACGAAGTATCTCGAAAGAGAAGCTCTAAACACTATGATCTATGTAGAGAACTAGCTTTTACCTCGACGATTCTCATCCTCGGATGGCTCGCTTCACCAATCCTCGCCGAAGTATTTCTTCCTCATGTCGTCGATGATGGTGCGTGGCCGTCCTTCGCCATAAGTTCCACCCGCGTACTTGGTCGCTCCAGGCAGCGGCTTGGGAGGATTGTTTGGATCCATGTTGGGATAGTTTCCATTAGCGTCGCGGTACCAAGGATTCGGAACAGTCGGATGTGGATTCCCCCTGGGCAAGTAAACCAAGAGCGATGAGTGAAAGAAAGAAAAAGAAAAGAGAAAAAGCTGCACCTGCGTCCTCCTCCAGAGTAAGATGGTGGCGGAGGAGATGAAGCGTTTGGATTCGGCCAAGTCTTTCCAGCTCGGGGATTCGTGTTGAAGTTACCACCGCTACCGCCGAATGGAGGGCTCGACGAGTTGTTGCTTGCACCGGCTTGATTCCCATACGGTGGCATGTTTGTGTTCACGGCCCCGCCAGCATAAGGATTGCCTCCACTGTTGTTGAGAGAACCATACGGAGGAATGCCGCTGCTATTGCTGCTGTTGTTGGTGTTGCTGGAAGAACCAAAGGGAGGGATGGAGCTGCTATTGTTGTTGTTGATGTTGCTGGAAGAACCATTGGGAGGGATGGAGCTGCTACTGTTGTTGTTGTTCATGCTGTTGGAAGAACCGAAGGGAGGGATTGAGCTGCTACTGTTGTTAAAGTTGCTGGAAGATCCACCAAAGGATCCACTGTTGTTGCTCGGAGGAGATCCATACGGAGGAACCGAGGTGGTGGAGTTGCTTGATCCACCGTATGGAGGCATTGATCCGCTGTTGTTGCTCGGAGAAGATCCATAGGGAGGGGTGGAGTTGCCTGATCCACCATAGGGAGGGATTGATCCGCTACTGTTGCTTGGAAAAGGAACCGAGGTGGTGGAGTTGCTTGATCGAGGAACATTCCCGGCTCCACCGCCATAAGGACCTCCGTATGAAGGAGGAGTCGAGCTAGAGCCCCCGTTACCGTATGGAGGAATCGAGCTTGATCCTCCTCCCATGCCGTAGCCACTAGAAGGAGATCCGCCGCCACTGTATGGAGGAGCCGAGCTAGAACCTCCGCCACCGTATGGAGGAGCTGAGCTAACGCCGTAGCCACCGCCACCGCCACCTCCACCAGAAGGAGGAGATCCTCCGCCACCATATGGTGGAGCCGCGCTAGAGCCTCCGCCAACGCCGTAGCTACCGCCACCTCCACCAGAAGGAGGAGAGCCTCCGCCACCGTATGGTGGCGCCGCGCTTCCTCCACCAGGAGTCGAGCCACCACCGCCGCCAACGCCATATCCTCCAGCACTGTAGCCACCGTTACCTCCACCGCCGCCCTGTGGGGGAGGGCTCACGCCATAGCCGCCCCCAACCCCATAGCCACCGCCGCCTCCGCCAGGCACAGAACCATTACCTCCATCGCTGTTGAAAGTGGAATTGTGATGAACGAGCACCAATGCCGATGGATTGGCGATCTTGGAAGCCGCCGCGCTACCGCCACAGAGCTTCCCAGCGCCCAAGACGATCAGCCGCCTCGCCGCCATCGCTCGCTCGCTGCTGGCCAAAAACCCTACACCCTATACCCTAAACCTCAAACTCTTGCAAGCTTGGACGAGGCTTTCTTTCATCGGCATAGCCGCTGGATCACTCGCATTTTGGCGCTCCTACACCGGGAGTTTTTCTCGATCTCCGCGGCGTCGGCCGTGATCGGGCTCGTGGTGAGCAGCATGAACGCCAAGTCCACCTTGTCGAACACCAGCGACAGCTCCTTGAACTGGTACTTGACGATGCGATCCTCGAGGCTGTGGAAAGAAATCACCGCCAGGCGACCACCGGGAGCCAGGCAGCTGCTCGCTTGTCCGATCGCGGACCTCAGTGACTTGAGCTCGTCGTTCACGGCGATTCTTAGCGCTTGGAACGTCCGAGCTGCCGGGTGCCTGGCTCTCTTGAATCTCCCTGCCGGTAGGAGAGAAGTAAGATATGAGTTCCACGAGTGGTGTGTGTAAAGCCTTACCTGAAGTGAATCTTCCTCCAACAACGCTGGCGAGATCTTTCGTTGTTTTGATCCCGCCGTTGAGCCGCGCGTCCACGATCCGGCTCGCCAGGAACTTCCACCGCATCTCCTCGCCATACTCTCGCAAGATGCGGCCAATCTCAGCGGCGGACCAGTTGTTGCAAATGGCTTCCGCGGTGAGCCCAAGAACATCCTGCAAGCAAGTTCCCGTGAGATCTCTATCACGATGAAGAAATAGACTTACACTCGAATCCATTCTCATGTCCAGAGGTCCATCCAAGTAGTAGCTAAAGCCTCGCTCGGGAGCGTCAACCTGGAAAAGGAAGTGAAAACTAGAAAGATTGGCATTCACGGCTTACCTGCATTGACGAAAGTCCCAGGTCCAAAAGAATCCCATCGAAGCCCCGCTCCAAGAGCTCAGGATTTCGTTCTTTGAGATCCTTCTTCATGTTCTTAAAATTGGCATGGAAAAGATCCACCTTCGCCATGCTACCTGAGAGATCGCTTAATCTTTGTCTCGCCAGCTTGAGCGCGCAGGGATCAACGTCCATTCCCACGAACGTCTCCAGCTCTGGATGCGCTTGGATAATCTTTGCAAGGATGGAGTGTAATTCACTACCATTTCTCTATTGACAATCGAGTTGTTACCTCGAAAGCATGGCCTCCAGCTCCCACAGTGCAATCCAAGAAGGTTTTGACGCTTCTTCCTTCGAAATGCTCCAGGAATTGCCTCACCAGGACGGGCGTGTGCGGCAATCTCTTCTTCTCCCCAGATTGAGGAGTGAAATCCTCCTCGACCTCGGACTCCAAGCTCGCAGCAGCGGCGGCAAGGCTCCTGAATCCCCTCCGCTGCAAAATCGAGGCGCTCGCGACCGCTAGCAATCCAATCCGGCAAACCCTAGCGCTTCCAACCGTTGGAGACACGAAGGGAGAACAATGCAGCATCTCCCAAGAACCCTAGCGAGGTAAAACTCCTCGTATGAATGGTAAAGGAAAAACTAAAAAAGATTCTTACAAGCGGATGCCGACGAGATGCCTCTTTATTTGACTGGTTCTATGATATTTGAGGGCATCGATTCCTCACATTGAAGCGCCCACATTCTTCTCGTGCTGTCGATCCATCCATCCTCGGCTTTTTCCAATGTGGACTCTAATGTGGGGGCTTTCGATCGTCGCATCGGCGCTGGCGCTGGCGATAGCGCTCTCCAATCCCGCGGCAGCATTCGCGGGATCTAGAGCGCAAAACTCCGAATCGGTAAGCGTTTTTTCTTGAAGTAGCAATCCCTTTCCTCTCGATCTCTTGTTCTAAGCCCTGGCCGATATTTCGCTCTGGATCTTCCTCTCTTTCTCGATCTCTTCTCTCTCGGTTGTCTGTCTGGATATCTTTCGATCGATATTTCGGTCTCTCTTCTCCACTTCTTGGACAATCCTTTCGAAATTCCTCATCGTCTCGGTGTGTTCCAGCTCGGGAACTGTGTCTACACGATCTACGTGCGCACCGGCAGCATCTTCAAGGGCGGATCCGACGCCAACATGAGCGTGGAGCTCATCGACACCTACAACAACAGCCTGACCATCGACAACATCGAGACATGGGGCGGATTGATGCCGAGCGGCTGGAACTACTTCGAGCGCGGCAATCTAGACGTGTTTAGCGGCCGCGGCTCCTGCCTGAGCACCACCCCTTGCAAGCTCGTCCTCACCTCGGATGGATCCGGCAGCCACCACGGCTGGTACGTCAACTACGCCGAGGTGAGCATCACGGGCCCGCATCTCGGCTGCTCCCAGCGCCTCTTCACCATCGAGCAGTGGCTCGCCACGGACACCTCTCCGTACGAGCTCTCCGCCACCGTCGATAAGTGCCAGGGCAACGGCGATCCAAGCATCCAGCAAGCCTAGTACGGAACTCTCCGTGGATAAGGTATATCCCTGCGAATGTGCCAGTTTTTTAAATAACGACAAACGCGGGAATCGAAAAGCCCAGGTTTAGGTCAACGTGGCGCAAGAGTATATGCGCCGGATCCTGGGGATATTTTGAGAATATCCCCGTGGGAAAAGGTCACGGGAAAAGTGCTATAAAGAAGCGAGGGTTCTTATCCTAAAGAAGCGCGCATCAGAAAAACCCTACCTAGCTAGAGAAAAGGAATGGCGGCGATCGCGAGCTTCGTCCCAGTTGCGTCGATCCGCGCTCGTGGTAGTGAGCAGAGAATTAGATCTTCCTCTCCATCTTTGTCTGTGGCTTCTTCGTCCTCACAAAAGGATGCAGTGATGGATCTGATTAGCAGCAGCACCGCAAAGGGCAAGGCGTGGTGGAGTCCTCTCTTCAATTTCTCCTCCTCGTCGCAGCAGCAGGACTGGGCTGCGCAAGACGATGCCAAAGAACTCGCTCCAAATGTAGATCTAGCAGCCAAGAACACCTCGGACAAATTCAGGATTCTTCGCCAGCGGCTTAAGGGCTTGGATGCCCACCACGACACGATGTACCACTCCTCGATCGCCTCGCGCCTGGCCACGCAATAGAAATCGTGGCGAATGGAATTCCATTGTGAATACCTTGTCTTTGTTGTTCTTCCCTCTTCTCCAAACGGAGAAATGTAACATACTGGAAACCCTGTTCTTGGAATTATGGAGTGGAATTTGTGTGATTTTTTAGTGAATCTGCTTGCACGGAAGTCCATCGAGATGAAAAAGGTAGTGAATAGTGGCCTCGATCGAGCGAGCACGAGCGTGCGATATGGGTCGATCTCTATCCCTTGTTCTTGGCCTTGTTCTTGGGTTTTTGGTGCGATTCGCAGCGAGCGCGGCACTCTACAAGGTGGGCGACAATCTGGGCTGGAATCTCAACGTGAATTACACGCAATGGGCGGCCAAGTACCCGTTCGCATTGGGCGATAGCGTCGGTAAGAGCTCTTCGCGAATGATAAGAGGAATCCGAGCGATTCCCATTCCATGGGCAGTCTTTGATTGATCTTGGGTTTCGGGAACAGTGTTTGTTTTCAGCGGATCTCACTCGGTGCTGATGGTGAACGAGATCGATTACGTGCTGTGCAACATTCACAATCCAGTCCAGAGCTTGTTGAGCGGGCGGGCGATCACCCTGGCAGCGCGCAAGAACTTTTTCATCTGCGGGATCCCGGGGCATTGCATCACGGGCATGAAAGTGGCGATCTATGCGTCAGTGGCCTCCAGTTCGCAATCGGTAGCATCAGATTTCTCGTCGCCCTCGTCGTCCGCCCGGTCTTCTTTCCCAGATTTTGGGCCGCGTCACGGGCCCGCTCTTCCCACGAGTTTGGGGCTTTTGGCTCTAATCTTCTTGCTGCTTGTGATCTAGATCGAAAAAAAAGGCGAGATCATCGAGAGAATGGCCGAGAATGCGTGAGGATTCACGCTTGCCAACGGCACAGCATCTGGGAGTCACACTAAACGATAAACAAAAAGGGAGAGAGCTTTCTTCCTTTAGTCAACTCTAGGCAACCTTTTAGGGCTAGTCAACAACAGTTTGACTATAGAATCAACTCTGGATATTCCCAATCCAGATATTTGTAAAACCCTTGATGTGGAGCACTCGTGTGCCTTGAATGAAAGATCTCGCCCAGACGGGCTTTGGATGAGCGACGGAGGATTGGATTAGGGCAAAGGAATGGCGAGCGTCCTTGGCAGCATTGCCTCCGCGTCGCCAGCGCCATCGTCGGCGGCAGCGTCCAAGCTCGGGAGCGCCGGCGTCTTCAGCAAGACTGTGAGTTTCCCGCTGCTAGGGCCGCCAATCGTAATCCTCCGGCATTCTTCCTCCGCGGCCCCTGCCAAGATCGTTTGCCTGGGCAATGGCGCCGGTAGCAAGCCCCTCTTGGCTAGCTTGTCCGGGTTTACTGTCACCAGCGACAGTCCATCATTCTCGGCAGGGAATGCGAGCGCGAGCGAGGAGCTCGCTATTGCGAGCTTGGGCATCGACAGCAGGATTGTGGACGCCCTTGCCAAGAGGGGCATTGTGAATTTGTTTCCTATCCAGGTATGTGAGATCTAATTCTCTACGTCGTTAAGTTTCATTGTTTCGTTCCAGAGAGCTGTCTTTCAACCGGCAATGCAAGGACTCGATCTCATCGCTCGTGCCAAGACAGGAACTGGCAAGACGCTGGCCTTTGGGATTCCAATCCTGGATAACATATCGAGGGAAAAGAGTAGTATGCAATTCAGGTGAGCCTGACATCGTACTACACAATGCTTGATTTTGTTTTTCTTTGAATCCAGACCAGCGGGAACTCCACGAGCAATCATTCTGGCACCAACTAGGGAGCTCGCGAAACAAGTTGAGAACGAGCTTGTGCTCGCAGCTCCACACTTATCTGTGGTTTGCATCTATGGTGGTGTTAGTATCGAAGGCCAACGAAGGCAACTAGCATCCAGTGTTGAAGTGGTGGTGGGAACTCCCGGCCGAGTCATCGACATGCTTGAGAGGGGCGACTTGAGACTGAACGAAGTAAAGTTTGCGATCCTGGATGAAGCGGATCAGATGCTTGCTGTTGGTTTTGCCGAGGAGGTCGAGAGAATCATGCAAAAGTTGCCGCTTCAGCGTCACACCATGCTTTTCTCCGCGACAATGCCGAGCTGGATAAGGAACTTAACAAGCAAGTATCTTAAGAATCCAACAATGATAGACCTGGTAAGTGTATCATTTGACTTGTTCGTTTTCTGACACCGAAGAACAGGTCGGTGAAAATGAGGATAAAGTTGCTGAAGGAATCAAGCTCTATGCAGTTTCTACAAATGACCTCGCCAAAAACAAACTTCTGGCCGATCTTCTCACGGTTTGTCGACTTTAATGACTGGGACTTGTATAAATAATATTTACTTACAGGTCTATGCGAAAGGAGGCAAAGCCATAGTATTCACGAAGACGAAGAGAGATACGGACGATGTTGCTGCTGTGATGAGCCGTTCCATTGGTTGTGAAGCCTTGCATGGGGATATTTCTCAGTACCAAAGAGAGAAGACCCTGAGTGGGTTCCGTGACGGGAGATTCAACGTTCTAGTCGCAACGGATGTTGCAGCTCGGGGGCTTGACATTCCAAATGTGGATCTCGTAAGTGAACTTTGTCTCTGCGAGGCCTTGTTTTAACAAGTTATTACTTTAGATTGTGCATTACGAGGTTCCCGGAGATTCGGAAACTTTCGTTCATCGATCCGGAAGAACAGGCCGAGCGGGCAAGAAGGGGACCTGTATACTTATGTATACTCTTAATCAAAAGAGGGTCCTACGCACGATTGAAAGCGAAGTTGGCTGCAAATTTGAAGCTATAGGCCCGCCTGCGGCTGAGGATGTACTTGCCAGTTCTTCTGATCATGCGTCGGAGTCGATCAAAAGCGTGCACCCGGATCTCGCAAAGCTCTTTCTGCCTGCTGCGCAAAAACTACTGGAAGAGCAGGGCGTTACCGCTCTTGCAGCAGCTATGGCCCATGTTAGCGGTGTTACTCAACTCCCTCCGAAACGATCGCTCTTGACATACGAGGAGGTAATTAATCTTGTTCTTCTCATCGTGGAACTAACGGTGTTCGCTGCAGGGATACATGACTTTGCAGCTGACCGGTGGAAATTTGATTGACTCAAGTGCGGTCTCGTCAGCTGTAATGCAACTTAGCTCCAAAGCAGGAATGAGCATGGGGAGAGTTACAATGCTTTCGAGTTCGACGGTATGTTTCTACCTTTCTGCATGTTTTTTCTGACCGCGTGAACAGGCCACCGGAGGGGTGTTCGATCTTCCAGAAGATCTTGCCAAGGAGATTCTTGCACTTCAAAATGTTGGAAGCAATGTTCTCACTGCCGTAAAAGTTGTAAGTACATATTTATGTTTCTTGCTGTTTGTTCCTGACAAGAGGTTTGGCAGCTTCCCGATTTACAAGAAGACTACTTCCAGTCATCATTCAGTCGAGGAAGGAGCTTCGGTGGAGGATTTAGGAGTGGCGGATCCTCGTACGGCGGCGGTTCATCTTATGGCAACAGGGGTGGCTCGTCCTTTGGAGGCTCTTCATATGGAGGAAGTCGCACTGGTTCCGGTTATGGTTCCTCCTCATACAACAGTGGAGGTGGTTATGGTAGAAGCGAAGGCTCGAGCTATGGGGGGTCATCCTATAACAGTGGATCCTCGTATGGCAACAGGTCAGGAAGCTATAGCTCTCCAAGCTATGGTGGAAACAACGGTTCCACTTTTGGTAACTCTTCAAACTACGGTGGATCTGGATCGTGGTCCAACTCCAACAGCAGGGACGCTGGCTACGGTTCCAACAGCAGGGATGCTGGCTACGCCACTGGCTCTTCCACTGGCTTTGGTGGAAATGCTGGTTCCTCCACAGGCCACGGCGGGACTGGCTACGGTGGAACCTCCGGTTCATCCACTGGATACAATGGAGCTGGCTTTGGTGCAAGTTCTGGTTCCTCCACTGGCTATGGTGGAACGTCTTCATCTACTGGATATGGTGGAACGTCTCCATCCACTGGATACGGTGGAACGTCTTCTAGTGGTTTCGGAGGGAACTCGTCGACAGGATTTGGAGGAAATTCGTCGAGTGGCTTTGGAGAAACATCATTTGGTGGAGCTCGAGGCTACAATGCCAACCCGACGACTCCCAACGCAGGGACTGACTATGGCTGGAGGAAAGGTGCCGGGAGCTCGGGAGGATCAACCGGTGCCACAACTCCTTCATACGGAGGAGGATATCCTCCTCCTTTTTCAACCGGAGGAGGATATCCTCCTCCATCTCAACCTGGCTATGGTGCGTCGGCTGGGAACACTGGCTATGGAACTTCCGGCAACTACGGTTATGGCAATTCTCCTTCGGCTACTGGGACTACCTACGGCTATGGCAACTCTGCCTCCACCAACAATGCTAGTGGCGGCTACGGTGGAAATCCCGGCAATGGGTATGGTTCAAGCACATCGAACACAGGAACAGGATTTTCGTCTGGGGGTGGTGGCTATGGAGGCTCTCAAAGCTCGTATGGATCCAGTCAAGCCCCTTCCTCGTATGGCTATGGTGGCAACCCGTCCCAAGGTGGCGGCTATGGCTCCAGCGGCTATGGAGCGGCTTCTCAAAACTCTCCCGGGTATGGCCGCGATTATAACGCGCGTGACCAGAATTCTTCTCGTGGCTATGAAGCTGGAAACTCGACTCCAAACGATCAAGGTGATCGTCAAACGAGCTGAAAAAATGAAGACTATTTGTGTTAATTAATAAGTAAGATTAATTAACATGAGATTATCGTGGCAGGCGTCTGAGGCGACGAATTCGGCGGCCTCTCGTACACTTTTGCTGCTTCATCCAGGGAATGAGCTGAGTTGTCTTATAGAGAGGATGCTGTGGAATGCTCGTTTCCGAGACGCATTGCGCACTCCACGTGAGACAAAGCACCAAGAGCTCGCTTCCCCAGAGTTCACAACCTAACTTATTGCTGTTGCTAGTTGTTCCAACACTCGGTCTCACCTTTGTTATCAGATCGCTATTCCCTTTGTGAAACCAGTAACTGGCAGATTTCAAAAGTAAGCAGAAATGTACTTCAGCTTCACCTCCTCTCTTCAATCTGCTCTCTGATGAAATAGTGGAACATTTCGAAGCGTTTATTCCTTTCATGGTGTACTTGATTCATAATCAACTGTAGGCATGCTGTGTTGTTGTAAACGTTCAGCAATTTTCCACATTGAAGCTACTCATCAGGATGGTCTATAGTTATGACGCTCAAGATTCATTTTCCTCTACATATAGCATAACATTTTTTATTTAGTAGCAAATTGAGATTTCCAATATCTAGTTGGGCTTTGTGTACAGAGGCATCTAGGCATGTTTTATGAAGTGGCTTCAATCTCATTCCACCTCTCTCAGCAAGCATCAGCTTTTGGCATGAATAATCTGTTAACATCAATAATCTGCCACCTTTTCTTCTATATATATCGCTAACTGATTATGGGAGTTAAAGATACTTTACTGCAATGGTTCTCAAGATAGAACCAGTTTGACACTCTCTAGCTTCCTTCATTTTTTAAGCTCTTGTCATTTATTCATTTTTCCATTTTCTCGTAGTCAGATTCTAGTTTGACCCTATAGTTTTTTCCTGGTTTTTCTATGTGTTTTCAAATTTCACACCTTATTCCCATTGTTTCTCTATTATCTCCATTTTCATCATCCATCATTTATTTTTTGTATGTGCTAGACTTGGATTCTTTTCCAGCTATTAGTTGCTTGTTGGAGCATCAGTATAATTCTGGGCATATTCCTGGATATGTTATTGGGCATTTCCAGTTGATAAGCCAAGGCCAGTGCCACTGGCCAAGATTTTGGGCCGTATGTCATAGCTTGAGGCATTCCACTCAAAGTCTATATGCAATGGATGGAGTGCCTTGAGTCTGCTGCTTAGAGGAAGGAGGGTTGATCCGACAAGGGAACTGTGTTGACGAGCAGGGATGTTGTGAAACAAGTCCCTACACCCACGATTAGAACAACAAACGTTAGTAAACCAACTAATCACTGATTTGTAGAATGGATATGCAGCTGGCATGAAGAACACAATTATTGTACATGTGATCAAAATTTGAATATTCTGTCGGGGGAGGATAGCCCCTGCAATTAGTTAGCTTAGTGTAGAAAGAACTGCTTGCTCAACCTCGCAGGACGTGGATAGCATCCAGCTGCCAACTGTGCCTAGGGATCAAGATCAAAGAGCCGAGCTTTGTGTGTATAGAAAAGTGGATTTCAGTCTAGGGGTGTGTGATGTAGCCAATAGGGAGGTGTAAGAGACCAATAACATATAGAAGGGATGTGAGGTGGCAGAGGTAGGTTATTTTACTTCTTAAGAACCGAGAGGACTGGAGTTGCAAAAGAACACAAGCTCAATTCCTTCAAGTGTATGAGGAAAGGGTGATCTTTTCTTTTCTATAGGGGATCCTGATCATGGTTCTCAGGTAGATACAGCCATGGCATTTTTGGTTCTCTCTCGCAAGAGTAAGAAGCCAGTGTCAAACCGACAGATCTTCAGATGAAGAAGCGGTGGAGATTCTGGTCATGTCCTTTGAAGATCGATTCAATAAGTTGATGGATATGAAAGTCCTAGGAGCTTTGGAGACAGCACATGTGGAACCTCTTGGAGGTCCAACTCAAGTAAGAGGAGATGGAAATGCATTGAGAGGGAGGTCAGGAAGATTTGGCAACACACATCAGATCCAAATTTGGGGGTGTTTTCCAATGGGCAAGGGCAAGAGTCCAGGATGCTGCAGAGGATTGGTAGTTGCTACAAAGGGCCAGCCTTTGTTTGTGTCTGTGGACCCAGCTGCCAACGTCCCAACATTCCCATTTCCCCTGTCAGCTTTCACCTCTACTTCGGGGGTGAATTCTAGTTCACCACCTTACGTGACTGCTGTGCCAGTGTACAGTGTGGCAACGTTTATTCCCTGGCATTTCAGCACTGGGGGGATGCTGTCGCCAACTTTCTTGTGGCCTCCATCATGGCCCTAGGGAAGCACTCCGTGCTTCTTCAGGACTTGCGGTGGATTGCTGCGGGGGAGCCCAGAGCTGGATCATTGGCTCCACAAGGACAGGTTCCTATTAACTCATTATGCGGGGGAGTATGATCGGATGGTGTTACAAGAGTGGACTTGTGGTTTTGACGGCTAATTCACCATCATGGAAGTTCCAAAGCGAAAGAGAGTTCCTTTTGCATCGATATACTTAAAGGGGTTAGCATCCAACTGGTACTACGCTCTTGAACAGTACAAGGTGGCTCCCTCATGGGAAGAATTCAAAAGGCTGCTCGTTTGTGTTAATAGCAGTGGCGTATTTACCCTTCAACGATACATCTTGCGGTCCAATCGTTACAAGAGTTCAATGAAACATGGTTGAAAACAAGATTCGGCGATCATGGAGTTCCGGAGGTTGCGCCCGCCCGCATGAGCTCTGATGGAGGCTTGGTTGACATTGTGGAATGATCCTCTATGCCAAGGACGGAACCAGTGGACCAACAAGCCGTTGTTGGTGTCATCATCATGGACTTCATCAACGTTTATTTCTTGTCCACTAGTGCATTCTACAGTTGAAGAAGTGTGTACAAAACGTCCAGTTAAAGAGAAGGTGGTGCTAATACATTTATGAAGACGGCACCTTGGCTCCTTGCTCCGCAGAGCAACTGGACACCCAGAGAGATTTCTTTATCCTGGAGGCCAAATCACCATAGTATGAGTGCCGAAGATCAAGTAAAAGATGGCTTCGATCATATCCATTGCCTTGAATGTGTTTGTTGGAAAAGCTCATCCACAGTACCTCATGTTCATGTTGGTCAATTTTGGAGCATCATATATGTTTATCAACAACGTTGGCTCCAGAAGCTGAAGCTCACTACATCTTTGCTGCCAAGGCCACTAGTTGTGGAGGTTACTGTTCGTGGGACTTTATTGTCAGAGGCAGAAGTCCGATGCAACATACAGGTAGGAGGATATCAGATGGAGGGGACGTTCCATGTCCTTGAGATGGGGGCCGTCAATATGGTGTTTGGAGTTGACATTCTCCAGACTCTAGGAAACATCGTTGTTAACTTTGGAATAAAGTGGATGGAATTTTCTGTCCAAGGGAAAGACATATACCGGGCTGGATGTGCAACCTTTTCATCAGTTTCAGCAAGTTTCGGCAGCTCAATGCTCGCGGTTAGTTGCTCAAGGTGGTGACCCTAGGAGTTCTTGAGGAGCAGCGACTAATTCAGCTTGCAAAGACAGCTTTGCCAAAGGAGCGAAGCCCTGGGAAGAAAGCCAGGGAGAAGAAATCAGTGAAGAAAGCAGACCCTGGAGGACTGGAGGAGAAAAATGACAGCAAAGGCAGGAGGAAAGCAATGAAGCAAGCTGCCGCTTCGTCCATAGACTCAGATGATGCTGAAGTTTCTGGTGAGGAGGGCAGAATATCCACAGAAGTGGAAGATGCTTTGGCCGAAATTCCACTTCCAAACGACGTAAAGGTACTTGCAAGTTTTTATCCTCATGTATTTCGCAAGCAGATTACTGCTTGAGAGGCTAGTGAGAAAACTGGGGTGTATCACCATATTTGTTTGGAATCAGGAGCTCCTCCTACCACCCGAGCTTTTATTCGTCCAGATCAGGAGGAACGCCAGCGTGTCGACGAGATGGTGGGCGAGCTATTAGCGGATGGAATGGTGGAATTGAGCACGAGTTCTGGTTCTCAAGAAGTAAACAAAACCTACACATTCCTGCTATATAATCGATCCCTCTAGGAGGAGTTTGTGCTGTCTCTTACTTCACCAAGGACATCCCAGAGGAGTTAGGGACCGAAGTACAGTATGATCTGTTCGAGCTCCAGGAGTTTATTCTCAAGGTAATGTATTTTTCTATTTCATGCCTTCACACTAAGCTTCACAAGCGTTTATGTAGGCTGACAGTGCCATGGAATGAAGTTGCAACTTAATGGCATCACTTGAAATATTGTACATCCAGTTTCGGCATTTGACTTCTAATCATGGGATTGTCCCCTCATGAAAATAAAAGATATAACAGCCATTCAGCAAGTATAATTAGCGCTTTCTTTTAAATGGTTTTGCGCACTCACTGCTATTGACAAAAGGTTAACAAGTTAATAACAGTCCTTAATTAAACGACTCCACTGGGGATCGAACCCAGAATCTCTGGTTCCGTAGACCAGCGCCTTATCCGTTGGGCCATGGAGTCACATGTTGGTAACCTCCTAGAGTTTTTCCTACTAGGAGGTTTAAATTTTTACCATAAGGGTTTTTGGTGGAAGATATTTTTTTCTAAAACCCTAGGCTATGGCGAGCCAGGTCCTGTTGGGAGCGCCAAGCTTGGCGCCGTCGGCCGCATTCCCTGCCTCCCGGCCGGGGAAGAGCCCTGCGGCATTGCGCAAGAGCGTGCTAGGGTCTCCAGCTCCGGCGCCATCGCCAGCACCAGTTCGTCTCTTCGCGAATCCGAGGTATGGAACCAGATGCTGCTCCTACAGCGCCGATAGCAGCGCCTCGAGCGGTGGTGGGGGCTTTGGAGCTGGTTCTAGCCCCGGCTATGGCGGCGGCGTGAGCAACAACAACAACATCTGGATTAATCCCAATGCCACCGAGGAGGACAAGAAGAACTTCGTCTACAGCACGGGGAGCTCTTCGATCGACAAAAGGATTGGGAAGACATGGGCGAATCCAAGCGCTGGTGGCGTAGATAGCCCCGGTGGGGGCTATGGTAGCTCTGTGGCTCCTCCTGGCGGTGGCGCTGATTATTCTGGCCAGAAAGGGGCTGCTTCTAGTGGAGAAGCTGATGCGAATGCTCTATCCGGTGGAGGATCTACTGGAAGCGGTGCTGCTTCTGGTGGACTTGGTGGTGCTCCTGCTACTACTTTCGATGCGGCTGCTTCTCCGGCTACTCCATCGACCACTGGTTATACTGGAGGCGCTGGTGCTCCTGCGGGTGGCTATGGTGTGAGCTCGTCGACGGGCTATGGCGGTGGCTATGGCGCGAGTGGAGCTTCTTCTACTGGCTATGGAGCTGGAACGTCCTCGACTGGTTATGGTGCTGGAACGACGCCCTCGACTGGATATGGTGCTGGAACGACGCCCTCGACGGGGTATGGTGCTGGAACGTCCTCGACTGGCTATGGTGCGGGAACGACGCCCTCGACGGGGTATGGTGCTGGAACGTCCTCGACTGGCTATGGTGCTGGAACGTCCTCGACTGGTTATGGTGCTGGAACGACGCCCTCGACTGGATATGGTACTGGAACGTCCTCGACTACCGGAGGCTATAGTGGAAACCCATCAACAGGCTATAGCTCGCCTGGGTCGACCGGATACGGAACTTCTTCCGCGTCCACCGGCTATGGAAGCTTTGGCGGAACGTCCCCGGCATCGACTGGCTATGGGACTGGCACAACCCCGAGCTCCACGACCGGTTATGGATCGTCGACTGGTTTTGGAGACGCGTCCACTGGCTACGGTGGAGGAAACTCATCCACCTCGACTGGCTATGGTCAAAACTCTTCGACGGGCTTTGGTGATGGTCAAAACTCTTCGGGAAGTTCTACCAGTTCTGGCACGGGTTACGGTGGAGCTGGTTCCTCGACTGGATATGGAAGCTCGGGAAATTCTTGGGCTGGAAATGCTTCAACCGGATATGGTGGAAGCTCGTCAGCAGGGAGTACCTTCGGTGGGGGCTACGGTGGGAACTCCTCGACTGGAAGCGGATTTGGCGGCTCCACAAATTTTGGAGAAAGTTCTTCGACTGGAAGCGGCTTTGGTGGCTCCACTGGTTTCGGTGGGACTTCTTCGGGTGGCTTTGGTGACAATTCTTCAACTGGAAGTGGCTTTGGCGGTGGTTTCGGTGGAAACTCTTCGACGGGCTTTGGTGGGAGCTCAACCGGCTATGGTAGCTCCAACGGCTTTGGCGGGAGCTCCTTTGGTGGCGGAAGCTCATTCGGCAGGAGCTCGCCTGGCTTCACGCCCAGATACCACAGCAACCCGACGACGCCCAACGCAAGCACTGACTTTGGGTGGAGGAAGGGGATGAGCACCGCTCCAACGCCGCCACCCCCGCCGCCATCCACAGAGCCGGACAGCTCCACAACGCCATTCTCGGCTACAAGTTTCCTCGGGGGAAATCCTGGAGCTTCCTCGCCCGGATACGGGACCACGCCTAGCTCTTCGTATCCGGGAGGCTCCACAGGAGGCTCGTTTGGCTCCACAGCGACGGGAGGCTACCAAGGAAACTCTACGGGCTTTGGGTCCTCGACGAGTGGCGGCTACCAAACGAGCAGCTCTCCAGACTTTGGATCCTCGACAACGCCGTCGTGGAACAGCGCACCATCTTCGAGTCCGAGCACGGGGTGGAACAGTGCACCGTCTTCGAACCCAAGCACGGCGTGGAACAGTGCACCATCTTCAAGTCCGAGCACGGGGTGGAACAGTGCACCTTCTTCGAGCCCAAGCACGGCGTGGAACAGTGCACCATCTTCCAGCCCGAGCACGGAGTGGAACAGCGCACCATCTTCGAGCCCGAGCACGGGATATGGGAGTGAGAGCGCTGCTTCAACTAGCTCGCAGGCGGCAGCCCCTGGAGCGGCTCCAAGTTTTGATTCAGGTATATAGTCTTTGAGTATGGTTTGGTTTCTAAGATTGAATACAATGTTGTTGACGCTGGTAATCGCAGCAGAGAGTTCTGGATCTAGTGCGGGACTGTCAGTTTCCGCGAGTGGCTCTGGTGTTGAAGCGGCAGCTTCAGTAGGATCTAGTAGTTCGTCAGCTGGCGAGCCGACGCTGGTAGCATCATCGTCAACTTCGCCAGCTTTAACGGGATCATCACCATCAACACCGGCTTCTGGAGAATCCACACTAGCGTCGTCGTTGTCTGGATCGTCTACTCCAATTGCTTCGACTGGATCAAGCACGCCAGGCCAAACTTCGAGCTTGTCCCCTCAGACTGTATCAAGCTCGGCTCTACCTGGCACTGGAACTGGATATGGCACGAGCTACTTGGGTGGAGACGTCGGCACGCCTGCGAGTTCTTATGGCTTTGGCGCTCCACCACCACCACCAAGCTCTCAGACGCCACCAAATCCTTCTCCATCGCCATCGCCATCGCCAGCAAATCCTTACGCGTCTTCCTCTTCTCCTCCCCCGTCGTCGCAATCTCCAGCAACCAGGAGCTCTTTTGCTGGTTCATCCAGAGGAGGAGGAGCTGCTGCTGGAAACAGGATCAACAAGGGACCAATGCCCGAGTTCAAGCTTCCAGACGGCACGAACAAGTGGACGTCGGTGGATGAGATGAGGCGGCACTACTTCCCAAACTGCGATAACGAGCCGCCGCCACGCAGGACATACAAGACCCCCGACCCCAGCGCGGGTGGATTCGTCATCCCCGACGGCTCCAGGAAGTGGAACTCGATCGACGAGATGCGGCGGCACTACTTCCCAAACGAGGATTTCTCCACGCCGCCAAAGAGAACGTACAAGGCCCCGGATCCAAAGGCTGGCGGCTTTGTTCTTCCCGACGGCTCTCGCAAGTGGAACTCGATTGACGAGATGAGGAGGCACTACTTCCCGGACGAGGACTTCTCCAAGCCTCCCAAGCCCTTTGGTTCCACGGGAAAGAGTGACAAGTGATCGACAAAGCTTGCCATTGCCACCTTTTCGTCTGAAAACTATTCTATTTATCCAAACCTTTATGGAGGTAAAGCCCTATTTGATACATTGGATTAGATTATATTCAAACAAATATTTTAATATGAATATCTATGGCGCAAGCGTGAACCTCATGGCAGCCATTCAATGCACGATCCAAGTGGTAAGTCTCGGCCTTCGAAGAATTCGACTCCGTTAGGTTTCTTGTGATTGATCATCGCTTGCGCGGATGATCCGTCACATTCTTCCACAAGTTAGAATGTGAGCCTTGTGCTCGTCGGGGGGCCCAATTCACCATCTCCAATTCCGAGTTTACGCTGTGGTCGTGGGTGCTACCAGTCGGGCAGCTCATCCAGAAGCTCCAGCTGCGAGGATATAAAGTGAAGGTAAAGTCTCTTCTCCTCTCAGCATTTGCCTGTAATGGGCAAATGTTTGAGGCATTCTGTTTTAACTTAAACTTCTGTGAACACCTTTTTTATGATGGCTTTCGTACGGAAATATGATTCTGAGACTTTAGAGATGCTGCCTCGGTCGGTGAAAATCGTTGTGGGAGGAGACGTTGAAAGCAGCGGTCCAAGGTCGCAACAAGATTATCTGCTGGATCATATTTCCTGCTGATCCATACGAGTTTACAACAAGGGAAATCTATCAACAGCATTCCAGGTTCGCATACACTTGCTTTACCAGAAGTACTCTTGTGTTCTTTCTTCTTTTTGTTTTTGTGCGTGCAGGCTAGCACAAACTCGTGCTGGGCGGAGCAGCAAGCAAGCTGGTTGTGGCGAAATTCATCTGAGCAAAAGAGGTGGATTCCTGGAAGATGAGGAGAGGTGAAGCTTCCAGTGACTGGTACTTTTTTCTTGTGAGTAGCAAAGACTTGTTTTTCGGGGTTTGTACCCAGCAGAGGTGGCTATGTAGAAATGGTGAAAAACTTATCGGTTCCTTCGGGTTTTACTCGTTTCTATTCTTCATTGTGTGGATTCGAAGGTCTAGTTTTACGTGTTTGTGGCGATGGTAAACGTTACAGCCTCATTCTCGAGACCAGCTCTGGAGAATACGACGCTCCGAGAAGACTTTACTACGCAAGATTCATGGCACGGCTTGGCTATACCAGGGTAAGAGTCATGGTTTTCACTTGTCTACTTGTGCAGATTAGAATACCGTTCACAATCCTATGAACGAGGATCTATTCTTCTTAGTAGATCTTTGTTTCTAGCAAGAGAAGAAGCTGCTAGTGGACTCTCCCTGTAAGCATTTTGCATTCTATCTTTGGTCTTTTCTTATCACATATTTCAGACGAGAGAAGAGACTGATTTCATTCTAGTCTCTTGGCTGGAGTTTGGGCTGAGGCTGAAACTTCTTAGAGCGAAACAGGTATTGCATGCTTCACAGTTGCTTTCACTTTCACTTTCTTCAGAATTTGTTACAAGCAGGTTTGTTACGCGTACACTCCTGAGGCTGCATAACGCTCGTATGAACTGGTAAAAGCGTCTTTGAGTCTTTTGAGTATGGCACTTGCCAGAGTTGATGGTGATGATCCTGGTAAAGCTGGACGCTACTAGCGTCTGCTCGCCAGCTGACAAACTATTGGATCCTACTGAAGCTGCCGCTTCAACACCGGATCAAACCACACTAGCGTCATTGTTGTCTGGATCGTCTGCTCTAACGCCAGTGCAAACTCGATCAAGCACGCCAGGGGAAACGTCATGCGCTAGATATGGCACGAGCTACTTGGGTGGAGACGTCGGCTCTCCTGCGAGTTCTTATGCGCTCCATCACCTCCCAGTGCAAGGTCTCAAACTCCACCAGCAAATCCTCCATCGTTGTCGCCAGCAAGTCTTCTTCTTCTTTCCTGTTGCCCTTTTTGTGGAAGGTAGCAGTTGTTGATCTGCTCGGGTCTCCAGGAACCACACACCAATCAGTCAGGAATAGCTTGTATATAGAGCCTGATTGACTCGTGAATAGTAACTCATTTTCTCTTCATTGTATCAGAGCTCAGGCTTGTGGCTCATTACTTTTCTTTTCTTTCTTGTTCCTATTTCTTGCTCTCATTGTTGATGGAGCAATTGGCTGTTACCATTCTTCCAGCCATTTGATGGCTCAAGGCGTTTTAGTATTAGAGGGATCAAATGACTCAGCTGGGGGTGTGGGACGTGGTTACATCTCCTGAAGGCACTGATTCTTCAGCCACTGAGTCCACTCGCAGTAGCAATCAGGAGTAGACTGCTCAAGCCATCATCAGATCAAAGCTAGCAGAGCATCTAGCATATGCAACAAGAGTTGAGTCTGCTGCAGAAATTTAGGAGCGCCTCCTTGTGTGCTACGGGACAAGGAATACCACAAAGATTGCAGTGATTGACACAGAAATCATGTCAAAGTGCTACACTGGCAAGGAGGATAGAGTTCTCTTTCAAGATTTCTGTCATCGTTTTCAGGAATTGGAGGAAAAGGGGTGTGGCTACAGTGAAGCAAGAAAATCCTGGCACTTAGTAAAGCTTTTGAGAAACTGAATCATTGCTGTCAATGTCCACAGCACTGCCACTACATGATCAAGGCAGATATTGATGCTAGGTTGATCCAATAGTATGCTTAGTTGCTAGAAACTTCTAATAGTCTGGTGCTGGATTCAAAAGTTGAGAGGCATGTTGTGAAGGATAGGAGTTGGTTCAAAGAGGTCAAGTTAAGCAAAACAAAATTTGTTCAAATATAGTGATTACAATTAGTGACCCTTCTTATTGCCATATAACCTTTATAATTCAAGTTCCAAGCAGCAAAGGAGCAAGTAATAATCATTTGGAAGGATGAAGTGCACAAGATCTGGAGTCGAGACAATCTCATGTTCACCACAAATCACACTGGTTCTGGAAGTGCCTAAACTCATGTGTGCTAATCGATCAGCAAAAATGGACAATAAATGAAGAACAAACATTAGTCCCACATCTCTGTAAAAGAAGCTTCTAAAGAGAAAAAAAACAAAACATCGTTCTAGTAAAGCATATTTTCACCATAATGGATAAGGTAGAAAATGTGTGGACCCTGCATTACTTTAGAAATATTGAAGAGTTTTACCTCCATAAAGGTTAGACAATCGATTAAGCCAGACGAAAAGAGACACGCTAAGCCGCAAGCTTGTCACTCTTTCCCGTGGAACCAAAGGGCTTGGGAGGCTTGGAGAAGTCCTCGTCCGGGAAGTAGCGCCTCCTCATCTTGCAGATTGAGTTCCACTTGCAAGAGCACCAGCCTCAAGATCCGGAGTCGTTTTGGTGGTGCCCAAGCTCTTGTATGCCACCAAAGAGTGACTTGTATGGAGCGGTCGAGGACGAGAATGGAGGAAGCCAACTTGGTGAGAGAATACAGCAAGCACGCCGGCCAGCTATTGCCAGCGGGGAGGAATGCCCCACAGGCAATAGGTTTCACGGCCATACTTGTGCAGCCCCATCCCAAATACGATCGATCAGCAAAAATAGACGATAAATCATCTTTGTAAAAAGAAGCCCCTAAAGAGAAACAAATGAAAAAAAACATCAATATTTTCACCATAATATAAAAATGAAATTAAGGTAGAAGTCGAGAAATAAAAATGCACTCCATAACTCCATAAAGGTTTGAAAGATTAGTTTTGGTTTAAGCCAGACTAAAAGTACAAACCCTGGAAAAACGGGAGATTATAAGTTCACATACCATCAATCCACCTCTTTTGCCCAGCTGAATTTCGCCACCGCCCAGCACGAGTTGTGCTAGCCTGCACGCACGAAAAGAAAACGAAAAATGAACACGAGTACTTTTGGTAGAGCAAGTTCACACGAACCTGAAATGCTGTTGACAGATTTTGCCCTTGTAAACTCTGTATGGATCAGTAGGAAATATGATCCAGCAGATAATCTTGTTCTTGTTGTGACCTTCGACCGCCGCGTTCAACATCTCAAATCACCCACAACAATTTGCACCGACCTGGCTGGTGACATTCTTTTAGAGACTTCAACTACGTGGTTCCAAGACATGATGGCGTCTTATGTAGTTGAGTGTCAGTGGTCTAAAGTCTGAATCATCATTCCGTACTAAAGCCTTCACAAAAAAGTTTTTCACAGAAGTTCAAGTTAAAACAGAATACCTCAAACATTTGCCCATTAGAGGAAATACTGAGAGGAGAAGAGACTTTACCTTAAATTTGGCGTTGAAGGAGAGGAGAGGACAGGACAGGAAAAGGACGTGATGAGCGACGCAGTTCAGAGCCACGATCAGTCCAAAACAACACCCCCGGTCCTTCCTCTCCCCTTTCAGCCCCCCCGAGGGAGAGACGGATCTTGTCCAAGGTCCTGGAGATGGAAGGTGTTGTTTTGGAACAATTGTCATGGAACTGTGTGGCCTTATGGAGCGATGAAAGGGCCACTGAGCAAGAAGGAAGTGCTGAGATTGTCAAGAAGCTGGCCGAAACACTGAAAGTGACTGAAAGCCGTTCACTCGACTCGAGTGGTGTTGTTCATCGTGATCTCAAGCTGGAGAAGGCTCGATTCAAGCGCCGTCAAGAGAGACGAGCCAGTGATGGGTGGCGATCCAAGAGAGATACAGGGAGATGTCACAGTACTGTGGGTGCGATGTGTGACAAAATTATACTTAGTGGGGATCTTAGCTCTTACGGAGACGGGATCATCTCTGTCGGTGGATGTTGGGGCTTCTTTGCTGCGCGAGGGGAGTCCCAGCGGCCAATGGATCTGTCGCAAAAAGTGAAAAATATGAATGCAGATTGAAACATTCTATTGTTAACTTACTGCTAGAATGCGACTATAAAATCAATATTAGCAAGGTTTAATCACACTAACAAGTTTGCCCAATCAAGGTGTTTAAAAACTATTTTGTTTCTTTTATTTTTATTTTTCATGTGTTTCAGTTCATTGGACTGAATGGAGAAAGTCATCTTCCTACAAAGTTCTTTTAGATTGTTTGTCTTGTTTTTCTTTCGATACTGTGCTGGATCTTCAATACAAAAGGTCCTCTACTGGAAGAGAAGATGAAGGTAGGATCAGTTTTGTTGTTCTTATTTCTAAGGTCTTGGTGTCGAAAATATGAACGAAAGGACTGGAAATTCTATCGAATTACTATCAAATTTCTCTTCTCGAGAGCACATTCTACGCAGGCTTAGCTGCCAGTTGCGCCTTTGATCAAATGATCAACGTTCATAGCAATTGTATGGACATTCAGCTACGAAACAAACTCCAGCAGCACGAAAAAATTTCGCCGGACCTTCGTCTTTTACACCCGTCCAGGCTGATCATCCATTCCTGGATCTCCGCAACTAGAAAAGGTTTTAAAGCCTAGCATTGCAATGCATTAAATGACGAGCGAAAAGAAGGAAGAGCACACGAACCTTAAGCATTTACATCCAATGCTTGAAACCTTTTATCGGCTGCCTCGAACCATGCCTTTCTTGCAGACCCATCGAACAGGACGAAATGTATCTATGCAAAACAAGACGTCTCCACATATGGCTCAAAGATAAAACACAAGCAAACGTACTTCTTCAAAGTCGGCAGCGTTTGCATGCACGGCATCCAAGGCAATCGCGGCACCCTCGTCCACAGGGCACCTAAGCAGAGAAAATACGAGCAGTTTCCAAAGGAAAGAAAAACGAAAGGCCAGAGACTAACAAACTTACCCGTAGATTCCACACGAGATGGCAGGAAATGCGATGAACTTGACGCCTTTCTCCCTCGCAAGCTCGAGTGAGTTGCTGCGAGGAGGAAGATTAGAAACAAGGAAACAAACCAGAAACTAGAGACATGTACTGGTATGCATCTCGTAGCAGAGCAGCTGCCTTTACTCTGGATGATTTGAAATACATTGGCCCAACCGTGTGGATGATCCGCGCAACCGGCAGCTCAAAGCCTCTGCGACCAAAGAACAAAAGATTTGTCTAAGAAAAAGAATCTACACACGAACACTTACGGTGTTTCCACGGCATGTCCGACTGGGCAGCGCACTCCCGGCTCCACTAGTGGCAATTCCCGGCAGGCTTCGCGAAGTTCCTGCCCAGCCGCGTCATGAATAGCTGCAAAAACGCAATGCACGTAAGTGAGATCTCGCGAAAGCTCCGGAACAAGTTATTCAAATCTAGCCAAATCCGAGTCTATGAGTTTTGATCACACCAACAAACACAAAGTTCCAAGGTTGGGAGAAATTCGCAATGCAAGAAGACCACACAAAGGAGAAGAGAAAAAAGTTCTCAAGAAAACAATGTAATAGCCATCCAGGAAAAAGAAAGAAAAAAAAAAAACCACGATATCGATCCAATCGGGGCCTGCATTTCTCAAAGGAAAAAATGTAACAGCCATCCAAGGGAAAAAAAAAAAAAAAAAAAAACCATTCCCGCGATATCAATCCAACCAGCATGCATCCAAGAAGAAAACGAGGCAAACGATGCGATCGATCCAAAATGCCCTGGAAAAATCCCAAAGCCAACCAAGCAAGAATGCTCCCAGAAAACCCCCAATCACGCGAGAAGAAGAACAAGAACCTAGATGATCAAGGATCGCGTTGCTTACCTCCATCCACGCCGCCGCCGCCGAGCATCCGCTCGTTAGCCGCATTGACGATCGCATCGCTGTGCCCATCCTTGCACCAGATCGTGATATCGCCGCCCTGAAGAACCAGCTTGCAAGATTCCGTGAGCTTGTACGCCGCCGCCGCCGCCGCCTCATCTCTGGGACGAGGGATCTTCTTGCACGAAATAAACCGATCGAACAGCGCGAACGCCTTCTTCTTCCTGCCCGCCATAGCTTCTTCTTCCTCCTCCTCCTCTCTCCTCCTTTTCGAGAAAAAAGAAGAGGGTTTTGCCTCCAGCCAAGATTGGCTCTCTCTCGAATCGGGGAGAGAGATCGCCCGCGATCGCACATTCCATGTCAGGTAGGGAGAAGATCCCGGATAACCGCTGCTGGCATCTCCTCCTTGCGAGGCCTCCAATCTCGCCACGAAATTTCTAGCTCCAGAGCCACCGCTGAAAGGATTCATGATGTTCGATCGCAAGGACGCGTCACGACTCCACGATCTTGGCTTCGCCGGGCCCGATTCCAGCTGCTCTTCCACTCGGATTTCCTTCTTCTTCCCTGGATTTCCATCGGCGACGGCATCTGGCCGCGCCTCCCGATCGCTGGCGCTGCTCTTTGTCGGCCGCCAATCTTTGTCTAGAATCTCCCAGCGCTGGCGCCAGTGCTGCTCGTCCCTGTCGATCTTGCCATTCCCGCCCGAGAACCCTCGATCGCGCGGCAACTTGCCGGAGAAGACCCTATCCCTCGTCGCGGCATTTGCGTGCCCCGACAGCGGCATTTCTCTCTCTCGCGGCATCGCCTCGATTTCGTCCTCCGACGACGATGGATCAGGGAGGAGATCGAGAATGACGGGATCCATCCGGAGCTCCTCGTCTTCTTCGTCGCTCGATTGACCATCGCTAGTACCTGGATTACCTTCTTCCTCTTCGTCTCCTTCTTTTTCCTCTTCCTCCTCTTCTTCTTCTTCGCTTCCTTGTTCTTCGCCTTCTTCTCCCTCCTCCTCTTCTTCGTCTTCTTCCTCTTCTTCGCTGCCTTGTTCTTGCGCTTCTTTCTCTTCCTCCCTAGCGATTTCTACCCCGCGATCATGGCCGCCAGCCTCATCGCGCAGAAAGTAGGCCGCGGCGACTAGAAAAGCGTGCTCCTTTCGTCCGATCACCTCGTCCGCCATGGAATGACCACCTAGGGCATTTCTTAACAATGGACAGCCTACGTTATAATTTGTAAGGCTTCTTAGGGTAAACCCATTATAAAGTAATCTACGTATCTTTAGATTTTTGTGACTAATCACTTCCATTTCGCAGGCTTGGACAAACGTCCCCCTGGCTGGGGCTGGTGTTTTAAGAGTCTTCAAAGAGATGGAATCAGAGTTATCCATATTGAAAACTGCAGTGTGACAAGCTTTTTGTTCTTAGAAGAACTTCTCAGTAGACGTCAATGGAATAAAAATAAGTCAATGAAAAGTCAATAAAAATCAAAGAAAGCCTATACCCCATAAACTCATGAAGGATCAAACTCATAATCAAATAGAGCAAAGGATTCTGAGATCCCGAGAATTTCACTGTTGGAAAATAAAAGTGGGAAGCAAGGGAGTGAGGATTAAGCTAGGCCTCATGCCACTCTTTGGGGATTCAATATTTAACAATGTTTTTTGGAGTGCGCTTTAGAGTAGAGAGTATTTTGTTGCTTACAAGCATCTTGAGTGTTGGCTTAATTGAAGTGCATTTATGGATGTAGGTTCTTTTATTTGAATAATAAGTGTGTTTCTATTGATGTTCCAAGTACTTTGGAGTGTGATCTGGAGGCATTTGCAATGTGCTGTGAGGCTGAGTGACATGTGCACACTTGTTTTGCAGGCTGCCACTAGCAAGAAGAGAGCAACCAAGTTGTATTAGTGAGAGATCAAGAAAACATTGCCAAGCTAATGTGTTGGATATTGCATGCTATATGGCTTGAGTGACAAGTTTGTTCATCACACCTTCTTCACATGCAAATGATTTCTCTAACACCAAGGGAGAATTAGCTTCTGGAGTGCAAGTTTCTTTTGTTGATCTCTAAACTAATACTATTATGACATCTTCTTGAAGAGTTGAATGTAGGGAGATGGCCAAAGGTGGATCTTGTTTAGGACCAAGTGAACCCTCTACAAAGCATGAGAAGCAATGTGAGCAAGAATATTGGCCGGACCAGCCTTCTCTGCATCAATCTCTGGAACCTGGATGATGGACTGATCCACGATATCACCAGAGTGCAAACACGCTTTAAGCTTGCTCACATGGAACGTTGGATGAATCTTCGAACTAACTAGCAAGTCCAAAGTGTATGCAAGATCCCCTACACGCTGTAAAATTGTCCAAGGTCCACAATACCGTGGAGACAACTTAGCACTGCCACCTCCTTTTAGAGACCGTTGTGCATCCGACAGCTTAAGGAAAACCTTGTCACCAACTTTGTACTCTTGATGACGACGATGCTCATCAGCCAATCTTTTGTCTCGTTCTTGAGCTTGCCTCATGTTCAATTTTGCCAACTCAAGCTTGTCTTGCATATCCTCCAGGAAATCACAAGCATGAGGAACCCGAACCAAAGCCAAATTCAAACTCACAGGAGACCTAGGCTCATAACCATACATCGCCATAAAAGGAGACATGCCAATAGCCGATTGATGAGCGCTATTGTGAGCAAACTGAAGCAAAGGCAAGTATTTTTCCCATACTCCCTGTCGAGTCAAGTTTCCCACAAAAGACCGTAGCATATCTTCTAATAGCTGATTCATGCGCTCTGTCTGCCCATCAGATTGTGGATGCTCACCACTACTCATGCTCAGTTTAGTCTCTAGTTTTTCAAAGACCGTTTGCCAAAACTTGGACGTGAACTTAGGATCCCGATCACTCACAATGTCACCCGGCAAACCATAGAGACTGAATAACCGGTCTACAAACAACTGAGCAAGTTCAGAAGCTTTTATCGTTGTCTTCACAGGGAAGAAGTGAGCCATCTTCATCAAACGATCCACAACAACCCAAATAGCATCATTTCCTCGAAAGGTTTTGGGCAAACCAGTGATAAAGTCCATCGAGATGCTATCCCACTTATTCTCGGGTACACGTAAAGGATGATAGAGGCCAGCGAGCTTCTGATGATCAACTTTGACCGCCTGGCAGGTCAAACAACCACGTACGTGCTTCTCAACATCTGACTTCATCCCAGGCCAAAAGAAATGCCTCTTCACCAACATATACGTTCTCAATACCCCCGGATGCCCAGCACTTGGAACATCATGACACTCAACCAAAATCCGTTTGATGAGTTTGTCAACACAAGGAACCACAACACGTCCCTTCTTCACCAGGATTCCATCTCGTATTTCGAATGACGCAAACTTGTCACCCTTTAAATCTGTAGAGGCGTCCCTCAACAAAACCTTCGCGCGAATACCAGTGATAAAGGAGTCGAAGTCAGCAAACTCCTTAAGCTCATCCAAGAGATCGTTGGATAGCTTCACGAACGAGATAGAATTTACCATCCTGAATAACACATCAGCCACCTTATTGTCACCTCCATGCTTGTACCGGATCTTAATAGACATTTCCTGCAGGAATTCTTGCCAACGAGCAAGGCGGCCTCGAAGATCCACATCTGGAGAGACTGATGATCTGAAACTACATGGAAGTCCGATCCATATAGATAATGTCGCCATTCTTGAGTAGGTCAATTCTGCTGTGTGATATCAAACTTGTGGCTCATGAAGGCGAGAGACTGCCTAACTTGAAGCAATACGGCCTCAAAAGCACTATCACTCACATCATTGCCTATAATTTCCACCACAGTCACCTTATTATTCATTGACCCCTTCAGAACAATCCTTGCTCTGATGTCCAGCTCTATGGCAACGAAAACAATTGCCCTCCGCCTTGTCTTTCTCTCGCTGGTCCAAACGAAGTTTCTTAGCTTCACTGCCATCTTCATGCTTCGAGCCACAACGGATTAACGACCGTTTCTTCCCCAAATATGAAGAATTAGCAAGCTGGTCATCACGTTGACTACTTCGTGGACTATCTCGTTGACCAGAGTTGACCGAGTTGACTGACGTTTCGGGCGAAAAGATCTGAGCCTTAGTGATAGCATCAGTCAACGTTGCTGGAAAATCCTTTTTGACCTTTTGCTGCACATCCACCGAGCTCAATCCTTTGATAAAACATTGCACCTTTAGCAGCTCATTATAGGTGCCCGTGAGACTAAGGCAAAGATCACGGAACTTGCGGGCATACGCATCCAAAGACAAAGTCCCCTGCCGGATCTCTAACAACTGATTCACGAGATCAACCTCTTCAAACTTCTTGACAAACGAAGCGCGGAAAACCTTTGTCAAATCAGTCCAAGACGTCGGCGTCGGATTAGCTTTGATGTAGTTCTTCCACCACGAAGAAGCATGGCCCGTAAGCTTCGTCACAAAGAAATCTATCTTCACCTTATCCTCACAAGGATTGTGAGACCAACAACTTTCCCACAATTCCAACCAAGAATCAACCTCTTGACTATCACAAACATCCGGTGATGATTTCCATTCCACGATACCATAATCCTTGGCATGCTTGACGTACCAATGGTAATCACGGACATGAGATTGATTCAACCCTTGAGGGTTCATGCGAAGCAAGAAATCCTTGATGAGATTGACGGAATCCTTAACCTCCTTTATGTCGCTTTGAACTGCAGAAATCTGGCGTCCTTGCTGCACAACAACATCATCAAGAGTCTCTTCTGCATCGTTATGGCTATCCTCACTAATGCCATACTCCTCATCAGGATCAATATCTTGCTCTCCCGCCATCCCCAAAAGAACGTGCTGCTCCGATACCAATGAAACGAACAAGAGAGCGAACCCTAGGCCCACCTCCCAACCCTTAAGGCGTTACGGCCTTAAATCCCACAGGCCATAGAATATTCTTGGAATATTCCCGTGGTTCGTGTCAGTTAGGTTGACCTTTCTGAGGAGTGTGCCTAATAAAAACCATGCTTGGAGTTTGAGAGCAAGCAGAACAAACCTAAGATTAAGAAAAGGGGATGGAGCAAGCTTTCCCTAAGCAGGAGATTCTGTAGGAGGATCACAACTAGCACAGGCCTAAGCCTGGATGGTAAGGTAGCAGTGACCAATCTTTTAGAGGTGATTTCATGTCTTTATACCAAAGAAGACCTTTTGGATGTGGACATGGAGGATTTTCATTATTCTTTAGAAGAGCTTGAGGTTGCCATGGCACTTTCAGCACACATAAGGTTCCTTTTAGCTGTGCCACTAAATCTCGATAGAATGGTGCCTCTCATACAAAATCTATGAGTGTCAGTGGATTCCCACAATTTGGCCGAGAATCTTTGCAATCCTTGCCACAGAGTAATCCAACAAGTTGAGGAAGTGAGGAAGAGCAAGGTGGCTATTGTCCAATATTAACACATGGTGGTTTTGGAGTTGCTAGAAGTACCACACAAACCAATGTTGATATGGAAGAAGAGAAGATGCTTTTGGGGTATCCCGAGGCAATAATAGAAGAACCAATGCCATGGTCAAGTCAACAGAAGACTATATAGATATCTATTTTAGACTCTATCATGGGTCCATTTCGGACTCCATCTCAAGTCCATCTTAGACTTCATCTTGGGTCCATCTCAGACTCCATCTTAGGTCCATCGCAAACTCCATCTCAAACTCTATCTCAGGTTTATCTCGGACTCCACTTCGAGTCCATCTCGGACTCCATCTCAAACTCCATCTCGGGTTCATCTCAAATTCCTCCACATATTATGTATTAGTCCTCTTATGTCTCTTTTCTAGAGACTCACTTATTGCTTGCTTTGTGTTTATTCTTCGAGCACTTCGTTGAAAGTTCCACTCCCACTCTCGACTTTCCGAATTGGAGCTTTTAATCCAAACGTGTTACTCTTGTTTGACTTCCACTTTGGCCACTACCACATGGCACCCTTTCGACTCCACTTTTGGGGCTCTAGGATTTATATCTCATATATTGCAATTGTGCTCAAAACTTTTGTTGATCCTACCTTGCTCCTAATAAGCATTTGCAAAGGATACAAAGTCGGACTAAGGGTGTAGAAGTTGTGATTGATTTCTTGGTGGTTGAGTTGTCAGGGCACCTTAGGAGAATGACTACCTCATCCTTAGTTGCACTTGGTATGAGGTAGTGGATTGTGAAACATGTTAACACTTACAATTTCATACGGCAAGACATGAGCACTCTCCTCAAAAACAAAGGCATACTCTTTCTAGACAGCCCAAAGTTGTGAAAATGGTGTAGACTCAAGTTGGAAATGATTTCCTAGTCATTAATCTAGAGCTGCTTCATAATGAGAATTTACTTGAGTTAGAGGTTTTGGAGGTGGCTAGTGTCTACCTTTTGAGGCCCAACAATTTCTAGAGTAGTGCCTAGCATCAATTTAGGAAGATCAAGAGTGTTAACATACTAGAAGATCTTCCCTTAATGGTTGTATGCTTTTGCAATAAAGATTGAGCCCAAGAGTCAATACCAAACTCTCCTAGCACAACTTTCAATGCAAAGGGCTAGGAGCTCTAGCTAAGCTTGGTAGAGGACAATATTGTGGATCCTTTCCCTTTATTTGGAGAAGTTTCCATTCCTCCATTTGTGGCTTATATTGATGGAGTTTGGTGCTTGTAATATTGATAAGGTGGTGTTAGTGTATGGATCATTGATGATCAGGATAAGTAGGTTGCCAAGCTCTCCATGCATTTGCCAGCTTTATCTGTAAATGAGGTTGAGTACGTGGCTGTGATCAATGCCATGGAATTAGTAAAAGAACTAAAGCTCCACCATGTCTAATTCACAAGAGATTTGCAACTAATGACTTGCCAACTCAATAGTGAATACCAAGTTTGTCAAGGGCGCCTCAAAGACTTGTGGTAGTAAGCAATGTCAATGCCACAAAATTTTAGAGATGCCATTTTCATTAGCATTCCTTGTAAAGATAATTTTTGGGCTAATTGTCTGTCACATGATGCAATCACAGCCATGGGGAAGCCAAGAGCTTGGAATCCCAATGTGTGGCCTCCCTATAGAAGACTTTAGTTGAGATCCCAGCCAAGATGGAGACCGAGGTAGAGCTATATCTTTGTTGCTAGTAGGTTTTTTTATCCAGAGAAAAAGAATTAGTCTTTACTCTCAATGAGGAACATGTGACACAACTTATTAGCTTGCTTTAGAGTTTCATTGATGTGTTTGCATAGGATTACATCCAACTTCTAGGG